GGCTTTCTAGGAGGAAAACAGCTTCCAGGAGTGGTAAGGATATTAGAAATGATTGGGGGATCTGACACAATGTCCCCTTTCCACCGTACACCAGGGCTGTGAGCATGCATGCATGCGTGTGCGCTTGGGGGCACATGCGCGCGCGCGCACACACACCCCTCCTTCTCAGTCATGGGCTTAGGGCCCAGAACAAAAGCCGGAGGCGACAGACTGTGCCAGCACCACCCCCCGCACCACCCTTGGCGCCCACCCCTGGCACCAAGTGCTGGCAATGGCTCAGTCACTCCCATTAACTCCTCCAGTCCAGCTGTTGGGAATTCCGGTGTCCATCCTCACCTGGCCCAAGGCTAGTCGTTGCCTCTGACTGACCTGAGGCCGTCCTCATCACCTGGGGTGGGGACTGTCATGGTGGGTCTGCGCCAACCCCCTACTCCCACTATGAGGCCGAGCCCCACTCTGGCTGCCAGGCCTCTTCTTGCCTGGGTCTGGCTCCTTGCTCTGGCTACTTGGGCCACTCATCTGGGCCTGAGTCTGGAATCTTGTTGGTCTCAAGCCTGTGAGGCTGGATGGGGCTAGGGTGCAGGCTGAGGCTGCAGAGTTAAGCAGATCCAGATGCCCTGGCTGCTGCCAGAGGCTGGGGGCGGGCGAGGAGCCAGCAGATGGAGACAGGGTGGCGGGGAGGGGAGAGGAGGCTGAGAGAAGCTGGGAGCCTGCAGGAACAGGGGCCTAGGGTGGGGGCCACAGGACAAAGAGCTGATCAGAGATCAAGACTGGAAGGCTATGGGGGCTCAATGAGTCTGGGGCTGGGCTGGGGCAGCAGGGTGTTAGAAAGGCCGAAAAGGTAACCAACCATGTGTACACTGGGGGTGGAGGGGTGCTAGAAGAGAGGCATCTGGATGTGGGAAAGCAGGAGGAAGAAGGCAGTGGGGAAGTGGGAATGAGGACAAGAGAAGAGGCAGATGGGGAGAGGGCCCTGGGCGAGGGCTCCAGAAGAGGGCGAGCACAGACCCTTCCCCAGCAGAGCTGAGCAGGGGCCTCCACATGTCTGTGTGTCTGTCTGAGTGTGTCTCGTGGCTCACCCAGCCATATTTATCCCACTCAGCCCCGCCCTACCTCGGTGATCCCAGTGGCTGTGTGTCCATGGCCTCCAGGACTTCCTCCCACCAGCTTCAGCACCCGTCTCAGCTCCACTCAGTTCTGGGACCCCAGAACTGTCCCCTCCTTCCCCTTCCCTGCCCCCGCCCCTCTGGGCCCCGGTGCTCAGCCGCCCCTAGCCAGGCCCCCTCCCCCTCCTCTCCTCCCACCCCCTCCCACCCAAGGCCCTGGGAAGGGAAGAGGCCTCCCCCCAGTCTGGAAAGGAAGCCACAGGCACAGCCAGGCACAGCAAGAGGGGAAAGGAGGGCTGCTTATGTCCCTGACAGTGAGATTCCCTGTGTTTTCACACAGGCACATTCACATGTGGACCCATTAGGCACAGTCAACAAAAACACTCCCTGAACACACGTGGACACAATCAAATGAAAAATCAGACACATATTTGTGTTCCTACTCTTTTCACTCCCCAGCAAATATTTCCTTAGGGCACAGCTGGCTGTGTTTTAAGGGGAAGAGAGGCCCCATGTTGGGGGATATAAAGAAAAGCCAAAGAGTCCAGTTCCCCCTCCCCTTGACGTTACAGCCATTTCTCACCTCCCCCTCTACTCTTTAGGCCCCAACACCAGGAAATGCCTTTGGTCCCTTGGTGCCAGATACACAAGACCCACACTTACCCTCAGACACATGCTCTCAGATACAGTCACTCACAGTTACACTGATACACTCAGACATTCTCACTCAGATTCAAGACACTTAACATTTACACATGCCTGGACACACACACACAGAGCCACACATCTTACTCTTCCTTGCACAGTCACACACACACACTTAGCACTCTGCCCCTGGAATGGGGTCACAGCATTCCCTAAAACCAACTCCTCTTCATAGTTTAAGCCCCCTCTTGCAGGGAGCACTTAGCATAGCAGATACCCCACATCGCAGGTCCAGGCCCCCAGATAGCCAAAGAGACAAAGGTGAACAGGGGAGTCAGACACTGGAGGTACAGGGAGAGACAGAGATGCAGAGAACTCGAGAGGCAGGACTTAAAAGGAGATACACCGAGATACCTGGGGAGACAAAAGTGTGAAGAGACACAGAGAGTGTCAACTCTAGGAAGGCAGTAGTAGGGAGAGAAAAAGACATATAAGAAACTGAGGCAGACAGGGAAACAAAATAAGGAGCAGTGGACCACTGACAAGGATTCTCCAACACAGAAAGGAGGGGAAGCCAAGTGTGTTGGGGATGGGTCTGTCTATGCCGGCCACTGAGTAGAAAGATCAGACCCACTGGCTACAGAAGTCAGTCCCCAAAATGCATACCCACTCCTCCACAGTCTAACAGGACACCGGACACACGCAGAGCGCAAGTCTCATTCTTACTCTGCCACTGCTGAAGTCGCACACTGACACACACACACCCAGCCACCCACTCTCACGCTGGCAGATACAATCTCAAACCCCACGGAGACCTTCTCAAGACACATTTCCTGATGTGGTCGCAGGCCCTCTCACACGCACACACGAACACACGACCCAGTCTCTGCCCCCAAACTGCACAATGACAGACGCGCACAGCATCCCACACTGGCCCAGCCACATGCAGACTCAGCCACATGCACAGTGACACCCGCAGTCACGTTAGCTGAGGGTTGCACCAAGTGACACTGTTGCGGCGTCTCACACACTGACATCGTCACACACAGTCTGCCGGTCTCACACACACTCACACTGACAGCGCGCCCGCCACGCCGGGCCCTTCAAATCCCACACCACCCGCCCCGCCCTCTGCTGGCAAGGCTCCCGCCTGCGCACCCGCGG